CGGTCCGGTCGTTGGCCTTTGTGGCTGAGGGATCCATGCTTGACCCCATTGACGAGGATGAATGTCAGTCAGTCAGTCAGCAGATGTGGACAATGGCAGACTGCGGGGTTCTTTCGATCTTATCTCCAGATACCAGGTATGCAGCAGAGGAGATTCCAGGATGTGTGTATGTACTCGGCCGATAGGTACTCCACCGCACTAGATCATCAGCATTGAAGACAGAACAACTCACCGTGCGGCCGGTAGGTGCATGAGCGCTCAACTCAAGTGCAATGTATCCATCTGTATCTCAAAAAGAGGAACACCGTAGTGATGTCACTTGAGGCAGCGCTAATGGCGGCCAGACGCGGCTGGCGAGTGCCTATCATAGATGGAAGAGGGGCTGCGGTGAGAATCAAAGAAAAGTTGAGTGAGGGGTAACTGGTAATCACCCCGCCATTGACGCTTTGGGCATCAACAAGCAGCCGTAGAGCAGGACAGCCTTGTCTAGACTATCACCTATGTGGACTGTAGACCCTCTGTTAGTTAGTGAATTTAGTATTCACCGGTCACCTGCCGGTCACCTGCAGAACAAAGCACGCCATTCTGCCATTTGCCCCCAGCTGAGAGGAACTAAATCGAATGGATGGATACTATGTAGATTGTAGATGGTTAGTAGCCACCGCCACAGCAACAAGTAACAACACTAATCCATGCCGGTCACGAGACAGACCCAACGCCTGAGGAAACCAACTCGGACTAGTGCTTCCGCGTCAATTCCAAAATAGTCGATGCTTGACAAATCCAATATGATAATTTATGGCAAAGAATAGGAGCTCGCCTAGATATCTATCTACCCTCATGTGCCGCCGACACATCCAGCTCGATCTCGATCTAGATCCCGCCTCCTCGGTTGCGGGAATTTACTGTATGTCTTCTGTCAATGAATCACTGTCATGTCCGAAGGCGGCGATACTGTCGCCATCATCGGAGTAGCGGGGCTCTGGTGGCATTCGTGGCGGGGTAACTAAGAGAGTATATTCCAGAGAGAGACAGGGATGTGCTGATGAGTTGGTCTTATTCTTAACCTTCGTTTAAACAATAGCATGTGATGGTATCTTGCATTGAACCAAGAGATGTTTATTTGTTTTGTAGGTATACAGGCAGTATTGACGGTGTCTAGAATTACTGAATATGTCCATCTAGCACTGGTATTAGAAAGATAGGAGTACCTATAATATTACCCTTTAGCATTTCTATACTCAAACACGAATTCCAGTAAATACATATCCAGTCTCAGACCATCCAAATCATACAAAGACTTGTAGTACTTCACTTCTTATCTCCCACAAATCCCCAAGGACAATATCATATCCACACCATGATCCTAGTCACTAGCAAATCCTTCCCAACTTACCACCACTGCAGCCCAAAACCTTCCTTCCTCGCTCCTTCAATCCCATCCTTCGCCAGCTAGCTAGCTAGCTATCTACCTATTACCTCACCACCGAGCCAGAAGCTTCAGCACAGATACCACAAGCAACCGTGCGCCATCATCAAAGCACACACCTTCGTACTTTTTTGACTTCCCGAGATGATGGGTAGTAGATTGGGCAGGACAAAGTAGGTTTTGATAGCCAGCCTTATTCGTATAGCTTTAGGTTTTTTTTACTTCGCTTGGGGGGAGCACGGAAGGGAAGTTTGAGGCTCTGGGTGCAGTGATCAGCATATTGATTTCAACTGATAAATAGCAGGTTGTTGTTTGGGGGCTAGATTTGGCTTTGGTACTTTGTCCGTCAGGATGGTTACTATGCAATTGGTGTATGGTGTGTGGTGAGGAGGGGGGTTGGGTAGGTTTGAATTGTGTACAATCATGTAGGTTAATTAACTTGGGGGGGGGGGGCTAGAGTGCTACTGCTACTAGTCATAGTACTGCTTGTGTTTCTTTTAGGATTGAACAACCATCATCTCTTTAACAGTATCCAGTAGTACTTACTACTTGGACGAGACCTAATCGTTTTGCTACCAATTCATGTCCAAGCTGTGTTGGAGGGTTAACGGCTCAATCTTAGCTGTATATATTTGTGCTACGCACCGTTAATACTAATGCTATTGCATATATATGCACAAATGCAAGTCCCCTGCTTAGTTGATATGGGTTACCATGCAATTAAATGGAGAATAAATCGAGATTAGAGTGTATGCCATACAACGCCCCAAACAAGCAAGGTGAACGTTAAAATCCCACTCCAATGTCAATGTGAATGGACGATGAGAGTCAACCGATCTTACCCGATCAGGATCCGGATGCATCGGATGAAGCAGCGACCCAATAATTGGGCTGCAGTTCTGCAGCGGACTGAAATCTCCTGGTGATGGTTACACAAAGAACACCTAAAACCAAAAGAGATTGTTTTTATTATTTGGCATGCGTTAACCTCAGGACGAATTAACGAAGATGATGTTTCACCGTTAGAAGAAACAACAGCCAAGCGACATACGTATACTCGACTCTATTTTAGGGTTGTAAACAACAAACAAACATCCACGAGTGGTACGGAGTCAACCCAACAACTGAACTGGACTACGCGGTCTCAGTCTCCATCGCAAACATTGGTTCGCTGCCCCGGCACTGCCTTTCTACACTCTACAGAGGACTGGCGTATCTTTGGCTGTCTGGTCGGCTCGGCTGTGTCTAGTAAGTTTAGTCTAGTGGCAGTGAGTTGTGGCACGTATGCACATCCACTTTTTCTACTGATCACTGATCGTATCATGTGCGCGGTTGGCCCTGACCCAGACATCCACCGCCAGTGATCATCGGATCATCGTTGTTCATCGCCCCGATTTTTGCCTTCGAGGGACGGCCGGGCAGGCGATTCCTCGGTGAGGGGCAATTTCCGGGCACGGAGGCTTCGACGAGTGTTCGATGAGATTGCCTGTTCGGGTGGGATCGACGTTGAGCTGTCTGTCCGGCTCTGCGTTGAACCGTGGTTCGGGGTTGGGGAGGGTGTCGGGCTACGCGGATACGGTAGGGTTTGGAGATGCCGAGAATTAACCACGTCTCCTCCTCGTGTGGTTGAGGATGGGGGGAAGGGACTCGTATACAGTATGGTTCCCGCGTTATTTTTGATAGGGTGAATATGATTGGTTGGCAGTTCCCAACCGTCTGAAGAGCGTTGTTTTTGTTTTGCTCTGTTCGTATGGAAGCTCGATAAGGGGTACGTAGTAAGATGGATTCATCTCATAATGGAGGGATGTACCTGGTTGCTGGGAAAGGGTGATCAATCCCGTCGGTCTCCTAATCTGATGGATCGACTGTTCTTGATGCTTAGCTTGGCGCTTAAACACGGAGTCGCCTCAGTTATCAGTTCCTAACGCAGGTGCCTGCTCTGGGTTACATCCGTGTTTAATGTCTACTTAGCGGTCGATCCGGCGAAGCGCTTAAGCGGCCTGCTTCACGATCGTATCGAATCGCCTCGAAACTGAGACGCAAGCGCATTTTCCAGGCGCTTGCATATAACGAGCAGCAGTTATAGTTCCTAACTTGCTTGAATCCCTGCTCGAAAACAAAGCCATCGTCGTCATTTCCTAAGCTGGACAAATGAAGCAGCTAGTATTCCTGGATGCCACTTTAGAGCCAGGGAGAAATCCTGAATAATCAGGTACTAGGTACATCCTGCCACCGCCTCGCACCCGGTCTAGAGCTGCAGCGGCAGGGATGTGCCTTGAGGATAGTTCACGGCCAGGCTGTACGGTGCATGTAAGTCCGCGGATGTCTTACATCCTGAGCTGCACGTCTGCACCAACCAGCAGGCGGCCCGTCAGGAGTGGGATCCTCTGCCGATTTAGACTCACCGTAGCGGCTGCTAGACTAAGGCCGACTAGAATATTCGAGGCGGGTTTCAGCTGGGTATAGCACCAAGTCGCACACCGGGGCAAGCAATCAAGATACTAACTTGCCTCGGTCGTGTGCCGCCGTGAATAATTTGACAGGCCCAAACCCACGAGGCCAGTCCAATCATCACGGCTTCAATAGTCAGGCGCATCCACCACGGGCGCAGGGGGAAGCCGAAGAAAGTCGACAGCGGCAAGTCAAAGGCTCAACGGCCGAGGTGCACCGGAAGCGCTAACCCGAAGCGGTACCGAAGGTGTCTACACGCGACGCGGTTTGTTGTATCTGTTACATAATCTGCTCGAGGCAGTTTGCCCGACAAAGACACCAAGTCATGAAAGTTATAGTGCAAAGTAGGAGAGACGCCCTGGAGAGGCGACTGGTTCGGGGACTGTCCGTGCTGGCCTGGAGGGGCACTGACCAATGGCAACGTGGCAAGACCATTTTAGCCAATCACAGTACAGCGATAACGAGCTGCAGGAGAACTCCAATCCGGAGGCGAGGTTCAAGGGATCCACCAACTTTGGGAAAAGCGGTTCTCCAGCTAATTGGTTTCCACTCCCACCGGTGCAAAGGCCCCATTCTGAGCAGCCATCCATCCAATCCAACCCAAACCCAGTCCATGCTTTCCGTTCCATCTCATCTCCCCTTCACCACCCTGTTTCTTATCCGATCGGATTGATTGGCACGGGGGAGCAGTCGGACACAACGGTCGGTCTGTCACCGCCAGAAAGACGTTGGACTTGATGGAGTCTTGCTTGCAAGGGGATGGGGATAGCAGTGGATGTATGTGTGGATATGTAAATAGTAGTAGTAGTAGTGTAGTAAGTATTAACTGCACACTGACTCCCCTTCCCGTGATCATTGGGAATAGGACAGACCATTCCTAGTACTTCCCAATGGGAAGGGAACACCCATGTACACAGTAGTAGCAGTGGTCTCGTGAACTCTTCCTAAGAGAGCAAGTCATCGCGGTCAAGGCGGCCAGTGGGTCTTACCTCGGGTGGAGTCCGCTTGCCAATGAGAAGCCACCCTATTTTGATTTGATGGGAGATTCACCGGTCGAGCGTTCCGTGGTCTGTAGCCGTCGCTCAAGAAGCGTGTCTCTCTGTCTGTGTCTGTCTCTCTTTCAGCTGCCACTATTACAAAGTAGACTATCCGATGGCGGTTGGAGTCCGCGTTAGGTGTCCGCTTTTTTTAATGGAGAAGCGGGCCCTCATCCATGATTAATTGTGGTACCTTACCCGGTAGACTCCCGTGCTTACAGCAGAGTGAGTGATATTGGCAGTTGGTGGGTTTGGAGAAGGGGAGAATAATGGGGACAGCTGTGTACATCGTGAGGAGTAGTGGGGGGAAGAACAATGGAGATGGCTCAAAAGGGAAAGTTATCAGATGCGGGCATAAATCCATTTTCGATGATGATACCGTGTTCCACCGTGTTCCAAGTCTTGTTGCCACTAGACCGGGATGCATACTTGATTGCCTCAGGGTCGAGAGTTGGAAAAGGATGATACAAGGTTGAGTCTGGGCCGCCCTGTGCATACCGCGGGGATGAATGAATCATCGATGGGCGGTATGGAGGGGAAAAGATACGGAAGATCCTCGATCCAAGGAATGCCCGGTGCGGGTGGGAAGCAAGAGGCGGTCAAGAGAGAGCAGGGGGGGGGAAGGTGTCCATGGTTGTTGTCATCATGACTTTCGGCGGAAAGGGGGAAGGAATGAATGGATATCGAGTGGTAGTGACTGGTTGGCGATGCAGCCATCCTCCAGTTTGGATATTACCGTGGACGGGCAGCAGGTAGTAACACCGCGTTTGTCCATCCCACCCACCCGGTACAAAATGTCATGAATCTGCCAAGAACCGGGCAGAAGTAGATAGATTGGATGTATTACCCTTTATTTTCATTTTCATATGACTATCACGGAAGAATTGCCGGTATACAGGGTAACGAGTATATTGCAGCTCTCGTCATCATTATCCCCCATCATAATAATACCAACTATTAAGACAGTCGGAAACACTCAGCAGAGTAACACTCCGGCGTAGTATCCGATATTCGTCTAAATCCCGGCTCTGGAGATTATCTTCTCTTTCTCAGGGCGGCCTCGGTAAAATGCCGTGCTGGTTTGGGGTTAGTCTAACCTGAATCCGTCCGATCTGCTGTTATGGATTGGTAACGCCGGACGATCGGGGAGTCCGTCCAGTTCCAAACAAAATCTCCTGGATTTTCCCTCCAGTCCTCGGCTACGGATTCGTCAGGGGAAAAACAATGGTTAGTCGAGTAAGAAATGAGTACGGGAAAGGAAAGAAACATGAATAAGATGAACTATCAGTAGGTCACGATCACATTCTTATGACATCTTGCAGGGCGAAAGGGGCGAGGAAGAGAGGAGAATATTATCCGAAGAAGCAAATAAGATCCCAAAAAGTAAAGTAACATTCAAGTCGTAGGAGACACATCCAGTAACAGTAAAGTAATAATATTCCCCCTTTGTTACTTACAGTGTAGGGTAGGGAAAGTAACTTCAGTCAGTCATCGTCACGATCAAGCGTAACTTTCTGGGAGTGTAAGGTCGCCTCCGATCCTCCAACGGCTCCACTCCCTGCCTTTCTTCGGGACTTTCTAGCCTCAACCTAAGCCGCCGTCGGAACTACCTTTCGAGTCCAAGCAGACGAAACTGCGTTGCTCGTCGGGTTAATTTAGCGTGTTCAAGGATGATGATAATTATTATTATCATCGGGGTCTCCATCCACTAGCGCATCTCCACAATGCATGGCAAAAAAATCGCCCATTCCCTATTGCCCATTTCCATTTTCCACCCACCCCCCATCCCCGTCCGGCGGATGCCACTTAATAATTCATTCATTCCTGCTGGGAGTGGTCCTGTAGGAGTAGAGTCTCGCTCTCTTATTAGTAGCCCTTCATCGCCCACCATTATCACCTGCTTCTCCCCCTTCCCTTTCACTCGTCCCGATTCGTTTCGAGTACCACCCACCCACTACTTAACTTATTTTATCATCTCACTATTTACTCACTTACTTGAACATCCCCCCCACGCGGTTTGCTTGTGCTGCAACCCGATTTCCTGGATCGATCCTCTCTATATCGCCTATCTCCAGATCCCAGCGTCATCACGAACTTTATCCCACCACTCTCCCGCTTGCCACTGCGATGCGCTTCTGGTTCCGTCCAGCTACTCTGTCAATGGCCATTAACTGATCTAATCCTCTCTGGTTACTGTTGGCATCATAACCCATCGATTCACTCGACACCTTACTGAAAGCGATAATTCATAATTCCCTCAACATCCGCTGCTATTAGTACTTGGTCTACTGTCACCTTATCTTCTACTTTTGACTTTCATCCTCTCAACTACTCTCCACTCTACCAACACTTGATAACCAACATCTCCTCCACCTTCTACCCAAAACCCTTTCTCAATATTTCAACACCTGTTATCATTTCAAATGGCTACCCACGTTGTGACTGCGACTACTACTGCCCCTGCTTTCACTGGCAAGCAAATTTCCGTCTACGGCCATCCCTCTCCTGTCAACTCGGCCGAGACCTCTCCCGCAAATAACTCTCCTACCTCTCCTCGCTATCAGCACTTGCCGCTTCAGTCGAAGCAACTTCGTCCCCTCAAGGGCCCTCTCTACGTTCCTGCTGCCTTGCGCCCGACTGAGCGTCCCCAGAAGGCCTCTTCTCCCCCGACTCCTCCCCGCAGCGTTCACGGTTCTCACGGTTCTCTCGACAGCCTGAACGAGGGCGAAGTTGGTGCACCTGTTACTCGTCATTCGACCATGGAGAGCTACAACAGCGGTCCTGCTGTCAGCAAGCTGGCAGAGGATGAATGGATGAAAAATGAGCACCTGGGTGAGGTCACTGGCCTTCCCACTCGTGATCACTGGAAAGTAAGTGAAACCACTTCTTCAGTCCTTTTGCCTTTGCCCCTGGGTGGACGCGTCTACTATATAGTATTGTCATGGCGCAAGCCGAGCTCCGAGTCGCGCCATAATTGCGTTGCGCGATATCGCGTGATCGCCATGACGACATCCAGGCAGCCTTGCAACAAACCCCCTTGCAAAGAAGCAAATAAATTGAACTTGTGCTAACAAAACCTCCCAACAGGCGGACTCTGCTTCCCCCAACTGCGACTCTCCCACCTGCCGCTCCTCTTTCGGTCTCTTCCTTCGCCGCCACCACTGTCGCCATTGCGGCCATGTCTTCTGCTCTTCCCACACTCCTCATGTCGTCCCGCTTGATCAGAATGCTCGCTTCCACCCCGATGGAGTTCCCTCCCGCGCATGCGACCTCTGCTGGAGCGCCTACCAGCGCTGGGAGGAATCTCGCACGGAGCGCCTGAGCAAGATCCAGAGCCTGCTCGATGCTCAAAGCAGAGCCTCCGACAGTGACAATGAAGAATGCAATACCGCCTCCGACCGCTCGGATATCTCGCCGGACGAGAATGCGAAGCCCGCCTTGACCGGAGTGTTGGCCCAGAGCACTGAGATCGCCGCTAGCGTCCCTCGTGGCTGGAACTGGAGCACTTTCTAATTTATTACGACAACTACGGCTGATGAACAACATGTCAATACCACCCATGTCCATTGAAACTACGACATTGGGAAGCGACTTCACTTCGTACATACCTGTTTTAGAACATACTTTCTGTCACTTTTCGCTTCTGTTTTACACCGTCTGGGTTTGTCTTTTTCAACCGTTTCGGTCATTGCTTGGAGTTTGCTCGGATGAATTGCGGATTTATGGCTAATGGGCTTTACGGGCGTTTGATTTTTTCTTTGTTTGTGAGCTGCGACAGATCGTCGACAGAGATGCGGGGGGCTTCTTTTCTTAATCTCGTTCTCCTTTTACTACTCAGGATACCCCGTCATGGTTGCTTATGCGCGGCGATCTCTTTGTTGGTTCCTTGTTTTTCGCTTCAGTGTGAAGTTTACTCGATGAGTTGTGGGGTTTGACATCATCATGATATGCAATAGACTTATTCAACAAACAACCAATCAAACCTCTATCTACGTAGCTGTATACTCACATGTAGATCTATCTATCCTCTTAACATCCCTTCAATACATACACTATATACACACGACTCCCCAAATCTAAGAAGACCCAACAGACACTCTCCTCCACATCCCCACATGCTCAATCCCCTCCTCATCCCACCTCCCCAACGCCTCATCCGTCTCAAACCCCAACCTCTTATACATCCCCTCCACCTGCACCTGCGCATGCACCAACACCAACCCCTTCCACTCCCCCTCGACCCCAGCAACATCCCTAAACGCCCGTTGAATCTCCCCCGAGTTCTGCGCCGCCCATTTTAGCGCCTCATCCACCAACACCCGTCCCAGCCCATACCCCCTCCACTCCTTAACCACCGCCACCCGTGTCAGTTTCACATACGGCTCACTTTTCAGATCCCATTTGGGGAGACTCGACGCTGTTTCAGGGTGCGTGAGGATCTCGTGCGGTGCGTGGGGTGGTGGCACGAGACGGATTACGGCCACTGGGGTGGGGGTGGACTCGGTGTCTTGGTGGTGTGCGTAGACTACCCATTGCCAGCTGCGCGGATCGTCCGAGTCGATTTCACCGTCCGGCGTGCAGTTTTGTTCATGAATGAAGACGTCCCGGCGGATGAGGAGGGCCGTGGTTAGGGGGTCCGTGGGGGTGGTGAGGGTGGTTGTTGGTGGGGGACGGTGAGTGGTGGGTTGGGGGAGGGTCCGGGTGGTGGGATGACGGTTGTTGTGAATGTTGGTTGTTTGGTGGCTGTGGACATTGTGTTTGGAGGGTGTGAGGGTGGTGTTTCAAGGAGGTGTGGAGAGAGTTGGTGAGATTGTAGGTGGAGGGAATTGTGTGGGATGGGGGATATGCGGGTTTAAGTATAGATCGGACGGAGATGCGGAGATAAGGCCCATTCCAACTATTTATGTGCCTCCTCGTGTTTGCTGGTGGGTGAGTCATTAGGTCGGTTGTGATAGGGTTGGGTATGTTTACCAGATTATTTACTTCTTGTCTCATCTATCTAGTCTGAGCGATGAGATAGGTTAAATATTTATATAATGGTCATTTGTTTGGTAATTGGTTACTTGATCTGAATGTATACTTAGTTATTTATCTCCTCCGATAACCCAACCAAACAATGCAAACACCAAGTTTTCCTTTTCCATCGCATCGCATCGCAACTCACAATATTCACAACTCTACCATGCAATAACCACCACTTCTCTCCCTTCCATCATGTCCCTCTACTACGACGCCGTATCCATCCTCACGGCCCCCTCCACCACCGGTGGTTCCTTCAAATCCCGCATCTACAACGCCCGCAACATCAAATCCGCCCCGGCGCAAATCTACGCCCTCATCATCGAAGCCTCGAAATGGGATATTCTCCTCAAGGAAGTAATAGAAGCAGCGGGGATCCTCAAGCTTGAACCGAAGGTACATACACATATCTCCACATATACACACATACCACTTATCCCCACCCGCTCAACACACCCACGAAGCAATCCATTTCAGAGAATACTAACTAACCACAAGCCCAACTGAACTACAGCTCACCCCCCTCCTCTCCCTCCTCCTCGTGCACGACCTTCTCCTCGCCAAATCCGGCCTGGCCGCCAAATCCACCCACCCCCTGCGTCAAACCATCGAGCGTCACAAGACCCGCCTCCGCGGCGAATTCACCAAAGCGCGAGTGCGACGCGGATGTGCCACGATCCCGGCGTTGAAAGATGCCATCGCGAGGGAGAAGCTCGCTCTGCAGGGCGCAGCAGGCATATCCACCGCAATATACCCGCGCTGGGTACGAGTAAACAACATCCGCACGACGCTGGAGAAACAGCTCTCCACCACGTTCGCAGGCTACGAACAGGTCTCGTCATTAGCGGAGCTTACCCTCCCGAAGAGAATGGTTCTCGACCCCCATGTCCCGGATCTTATTGCCGTTGCGCCGGGAGCGGAGTTTACGTCGTCGCCGGCGTACAAGAACGGGGAGATTATTTTGCAGGATAAGGCGAGTTGCTTTCCTGCGTATTTGCTTGTCGGGGATGAGGATGAGGGGTGGGATGATGGTGGTGGATTGTTGGATGGGTGTGCTGCGCCGGGGAATAAGACCACGCACATGGCCTCGTTGTTGGCGAAGCAGCAACGGAAACATAAAAAGGGAACCGTGAATGGGGATACGGCCTACCACATCTTCTCCATGGACCAATCGCCCATCCGAGCAAAAACTCTCCAGAAGATGGTCTCCACCGCCGGCGCAGACACCATGGTGACCGTCCTCCCAGGACAGGATTTCCTCGCTCTGGATCCAACTGATCCCCGCTTCGAGAACGTCTCAGGCCTACTCCTCGACCCGAGCTGCTCCGGAAGTGGTATCATCGGTCGCGACGACGTGCCTAAGCTTACACTCCCTGAGTCTACTACAACCTCCTCCTCCTCTTCTTCGACAGGGAAAAAGCGCAAGCGTCGCGCCAACGATGAGGACGACAGTCGCGAAGGAAAGAAACCCTCCTCCTCCACCACCACCACGACAGAATCCCCCTCGGCAACAGACGAAAACGACGTCCCAGTAACCGGAATGACGGAGGAGCGCCTCATCAAGCTATCGAATCTGCAGACGCGGATTGTAGAGCACGCGTTGAGTTTCCCTGCCGCGACGAGGGTGACGTATAGTACGTGCTCGATCCATTTGTTGGAGAATGAGGCGGTGGTTTCGAGGATTTTGGCCTCGGAGGTGGCGAAGACGCGTGGATGGAGGGTGCTCAGGAGGGATGAGCAGCCTGTCGGGATGAGGAAGTGGGTGCATAGGGGGGTTAGGGAGGAGAGGGGGGTTATGGGGGGTGCTACTGGTGGTGAAGGGGTTGAGGTGACGCTGTCGGATGAGGAGTTGGAGGGGTGTTTGCGGTGTTGGCCTGGGGATGAGGAGGGGACTGGGGGGTTCTTTGTTGCTGGGTTTGTGAGGGATGAGGATGTAGCTGGGGAGAGTAAGGAGGGTCGTCAGGATGAGGATGAGGTGGATGAGAAGGAGGAAGAGGATGAAGAAGGGGAAGACGAGTGGGAGGGATTCTCGGATTAAGTTCATGGGTCTATCATAAAGTAAAGTAAAGGGGACATGTACAGTACAAAAGCAAAGTCATGTATAGGTATAGAACGATCAAGAGGAGAGGAACTTCCTCTGCTTATTCCGCGTCCGCTGCAACGTATACACCTCCAACTTCACCGCAATCATGACGATATCCATCCCATCTCCCTTGGCCCTCGGTTGCATGCACAGCCGCCACTGTCCGTTGCGGACAATCCACGGACGATTAATGGACGCCTCTTCAACGCGCTTGCGCTTCCTCGACGGCTCCTCTGACAGGTTCTCCGAGCCGGACATGCTGTCCCGGAGAATGTCGGGGAAGTACTCCCTTTCTCCATCGACGGTCATGTCGGTATCCATTGAGAGAGAGGCCCAGAGACGGTCTTCTGGTGCACTCTCTTTTTGTCCCGCTGGGCGGTTCTGGTCGCCCTTCTTCCCCGCTATCACCTGCAGAAGGCTGCTTACGCGGGCTTTCGTGGTGCCCAGAAAGGTGGGACGTCTGCTGGTGATGTCGAGGATGGTGCTTTCGTCCCCTATCTCGAGGATGAGATCGTACTTCTTATCATCGACAAACGGGCGAGAGTAAGTGACCAAGGCTGCAGACATGGTGTCGGCCTGAGTGTGACCGGGAGGAAGAGCGATGTCTTCTACGTCGATGCCTGACCGACGGACGTCCTCGAGTCGAATGACAATCTCATCCCGTTTGCGGATGGGATTGAAGCTGATATGGTGCGGTATGAGCTGCTGCTCTAGACCGCGCAGATGGAAGTAGCGGCAATCCCGCAGGAGCTCTGCACGATGCGCTTCGTTTCGAATATCCAGAGGATATCCGCGAAGGAGATGGAGGAGCTGCGCAAAAACCTCTCCCGAGCGGCTGGGGACGCTGGGTGGGGTGATTGCCGGAGGTCGCAGGAGACCCTGACGGTCGAGCCCGGGAAATACTTCCAGTGGCGAGGCGAAGAAGGCGGCAAATCCCAATGTGAAGAAATTCGGCGAATCCCCTGGGCTAGAGAAGATATCGCGAGGAATCTGGAAGTTGTGACCGCCAATTCGGACGAAGATCTCCGACTCGAAGAGTTGGGAGATCAATCGAGGAACTGGTAGTGTCAGTACTTGCTTTCTCAAAATGATGTTGTGGACGGGTCTCCTACGGCTATAGAATTGGGCATCCGCAAAAAATTTGACGAACTGTGGCCCATCTTTGGGCTGTATATGGTAGCCTGATTGGCGACAGTTAGTTGAGACGCTGCATTCTGCGATACGCGCTACTTACCTTGCAGATGCCTGGCAATCTCCTTGAATGTGGTGGGATCCCGGTCGATATACAGGGTCCTGACGTTGGAGATGTCTCCGTTCAGGCGAAGCTGCTCCTCGAAGAAGCGGGAAAAGTATGACGGAGCTTGACAAATTTAGCAAGGAACAGCATGAGGGCGACTGGTTCGGGTCGACTGACCATCGGAAGCAATTGAAGCTCCCGAGAGACGGAAGAGCTCAGTTCCTATCTGAATGGAGAACACCTTCTCCAAAGGAAGGGTACATTTGGGCTCCCCATTACTGGGAGATTGGCTTAGCGTCGGTCGGCCAACTCCACTCGACATTGTGGATTGTGTAATGATGTTCCGCAGTGGAAGGCCTTGTTGGATTGAATCAGACGTGTTCAAGCCCACGCATGTGGTGATGCTCAAGATGGAATGCACGGCACGTACTGCGGTATGACTGGGCCTGCAAGGGGTCCCTCACTCCACAATGCACGGTCGGAAATGAAAGTAGCTCCCCCGGGACGTGTGCGGTACAATGGTCTGGCCTCTCCAAAAATGTATAGTGAGAATATAAGAAAACAGAACCACGAAGTCCCCAATTTGAGCACGTTGTCCACAAAGTTGACTGCTCCCGTTCGGATCAGCTCTGGACAAGAGAAGTTGATAATTTCAGTCCAGCTCAAGAGGAGAAAGACGACAGTTATATGCGAAAAAATCTCAACTGTGAGCTGGCGAGAAGACCCGTTGAATCACATCGTGAACCAACAACAGCCCTGGGATGTTCTGGCAGCGGAATCAGCCAGAGTTACGCGCTCGGAGGTTCGGCGCGCGCATTCCGGGCGATGGGATTGTCACGCACAGCGGTTAACTTTGGCTTTTGTTCTTCTCGCCGTGAGGGCAGGTTCTGTTGGACCAGGGTTATATTGGAGTTTGATTCAGCGGATATCAGAGCAGCATGAAGACTGGAGCAATCAGGATGGAGTGCAGCGCCTTGTCCTCGCAAGCCACCCGTTGGATGTACCGGCGGGAGATGTCATCGGAACCGTATCGATCGTATTGGATGAACTGACTCCCCTCACGACATGGTGACGCTTCAATTGCAGTAATTGCAGTAGGGCGAAAGGGGTACTGTTGGTTGAGTCGAGGGGACAAAGCATTAAGGACAATCAAGCTTGACATTGGCATGCGAGATTCACATGGCAAATGTGTGAGTGAGTGAGTGTCTAAAAGAGCATTCCCCGCACCCAAAGAATGGCTTTTCTTTTTCCCTCGGCGGATCCGCAACATCCCCATTTAGCCAACCAGCCAACCAACCAACCAGCAAGGACTTACAGCTTCAACATCCCTCTGATGGCTTCTGATTCTACTCATATAGACTTTCGGATGGCCCCACTGCTCTCCAGTTCAGGTCTCCTTTTTTTGATATGCCTCGGGTGCCGTGCGCTGATCGTCACATCGCCAAAATCACCAAAAAATATGGGGGCCACCCCCGTGTTCACCGAGTTGGGAGAACATCTTTGGCGTGCCTGGCGCATTTAGCATTCAGCTCTCCTCGATCGCCCTTTCCCGACTGGCAGCACCACTAGAATTTAGTCACTTGGCCTCCCCTCACTCTCGCAAGCATTACTTCTCTGGGATTCTAATCGACCGCTTGGGTGGTTGGCTGCTCTGCTCACACACCTCGTCTTTCTCCGCTATTTGAAGGCGCCGAATTCATTAGCAGCAGCCGTGGACCATCATTTCTGCTCCACTCCGGTTCCTCCTGAACATGGTTTCTGGTCATTCTTAATTCATCCATTCATCTTATACATACTACCGAGTACTTTCTATACAGATATCGCTATCCTATCAGGTGGACACGCACACCATGGCGGAACCAGTCTCTCACTACGTTCCTCTGGACGTACCTCTGCCTCCAGTCCCAACCACTAAGATCTTCACAGAGGCACAATGGACCACTCTTCTATCGTTGGCTGACACGGTCATTCCTTCGATCCGGAGTCCGACTGCAAATAAATCAGCCTCGACCAAAGTCATCCCGCACTCCGAGCTGAACAAGTCTTTGGCGACATTGACTAAATCAATTCACTCTCCGGACGCTGGCACCATTGCAGCACAGTACCTAGAGGAAGACGCGTCGTCTAACCCTCTGTTCCGAGAAGGCTTGCAGCGCCTATTTGCGCAGTATGTGCACGACGAAGGGAGAAATGGCCTGGGATTTATCCTCAATGCTCTTAAGTGCGTATCCATTCTCAGATGTGGCCGCAACAGCCAAAAGCTGACGTGAGAATAGTACCCGGGCGGGATCGCTTCTCCTGACAGGATCAGTAACCCCGATCCACGAACAACCGTTACACGTTCGGGAAGAGATCTTCCGAGGATGGGAGACTTCTCGACTGAGTCCGCTGCGCGGTGTCTATAGGGCTTGCACGGGAATGTTCAAGCAAACTTGGGTCAAGTTCAGCCCAACTCTTGCTCCTGTACTTGGCTTCCCAAGAGTGCCAGTGCACGGCAAGCCTGCCGATGGTTTCAAGCACACCTTCCTCCAATTTCCTGCCGCAGATGAGCCGGAGACCATTGAGACCGACGTCGTCATCGTTGGCAGTGGTTGCGGTGGTAGCGTGGCTGCGAAGAACCTGGCCGAAGCAGGCCACAAAGTACTAGTGTTGGACAAATCTTATCACTACACGTCAAACCACTTTCCCATGAACTTCAACGAGGCCTTTAATAGCATGTTCGAGTCAGGGGGTGCCGTTGTGACGGATGATGGCTCGATGGCTGTTCTGGCCGGTTCAACCTGGGGTGGCGGTGGCACGGTCAATTGGTCCGCTGCCCTGCAGACCCAGGGATTCGTACGCGAGGAATGGGCAAAGAACGGCCTGCCTTTCTTTACCTCGATGGAGTTCCAGAACTGTCTGGACCGTGTTTCGGAGCGGATGGGGGTCGATGTTGAGCATATAAAGCACAACAAGACAAATCGTTTCATCCTCGAAGGAGCTCGAAGATTGGGCTACGCTGCGAAGACCGTGCCACAGAATACGGGCCACACTGAGCATTATTGTGGCTACTGTACGCTCGGCTGCCATTCCACGGGGAAGAAGGGCCCCACGGAAACTTTCCTGGCAGATGCCGCGACAGCCGGCGCAACCTTCATTGAAGGCTTCCGTGCAAACAAGATCCTGTTCACTGACACTAAAGATGGCCAGGTAGCGTCAGGGGTCGAGGGAGTGTGGACGTCCAGGGATGCGTACCTGGGTCGTTCAGGTGCAACTGCAGTTACGCGAAATGTCACCATCAAGGCGAAACGGGTTGTCGTCTCTTGCGGCACTCTGCAAAGTCCTTTGCTGCTTCTTCGCAGTGGTTTGAAGAATCCCCAGATTGGCCGGAATCTCCACCTCCATCCTGGTAAGATGCTCTCTGCAGGAAGGGAATGTCATTGCTAACGTTATCCGTAGTTGCCATTGCGGGTGCAGTGCTAGATGAGGAGTTCCGCCCTTGGGAAGGCGCTGCGCTGACCACCGTCGTCAATGAGCTCGAGAACCTAGATAACCAAGGTCATGGAGTTAAGATCGAGGCCCTGTCAATGGTGCCCGCGGCTTTTCTCCCCCTATTCCCCTGGCGCAATGGTCTCGACTATAAGCTCTGGGTGCAGAAGTTGCCTCGCATGGCCGGTCTGATCATGCTTGCGCGCGATCGAGGCACTGGGCGAGTTTATCCAGACCCGGGTGATGGACGAATTCGCATTGACTATGCTGTTTCACCCACAGATCGTAAGCACATTGTCGAAGGTATAATCGCCAGTGCAAAGATGGCATATGTTTCGGGCGCGAAGGAATTCCACACTTCATGGCGTGAAGTGCCCCCGTTCCTCCGCCCAGTGGAATCCGATGCCGAGGATACAGAAGGTGCCAATAATGCAGCACTTCAGGCTTGGATCGCGGAAGTGCGTCGCAAGAAACCCCTTGATCCGGAGCGAACCATGTTTGCCAGTGCGCATCAGATGGGGACGTGTCGAATGGGCAAATCATCAAGGACCAGTGTGGTGGACTCGGACTGTCAAGTCTGGGGCACCCGGGGTCTGTATGTGGTGGATGCGTCCGTCTTCCCCAGCGCCAGTGGCGTCAACCCCATGCTCACCAACATGGCCATTGCCGACCGCGCTAGTCGTAATCTGGCCCGATCGATGCGGAGAGGCGATCAGAACTTCCATGCTCGTCTGTAAATGAATCATTCTGCTCGTGCAGCAAGCCCTACCTGTCCCTTGTCCATACAATTCATCCCAGACACATTCATAGCAGGGCTGCTGGTTGTGGCTGGACCCATGATGGTATATATCGGTAGCAGAGAACCAATACATTATTATTTCGGTTGATCACAGTCAATTTGCATTGCTTTTTCTAATAAGTCAAGTCATAAATCATGATCGCGGACCTGCCCCAATCCATCCATCTCTCTGACTTAGTTCTCAGGCTCCTTCCTCTTCTCCACAAAGACCTTAGGTCCAAACGCCTCCTTAACATGCTCACTCTCAAGAACCCGCTCATACCAAGCCACCACACCGGGATACTCCTTCCTCATCTCAGCATCAATACTCAACGAGAACCCCCAATACAACGCCGCGGCCAGACTAATATCCGCCAAGCTCAACTTCTCCGTAGCCACCCAAGTCCTCCCCTTCAACCGATTCTCCAACGCTCCCAACGCACGGGTCAACTTCTCCAGCCCACTCTTCTCGGTCGCCTCATCGTACGCCTTGAACCCGATCCGCCACAGCGCCAACGAAGTCACTCCGCTCAGCACCTCTCCGTCCGCGAAGCAGATCCACTGACGGATCAGCGCCCGTTCGGCGGGCGTGCTGCCGACCAATTGACCCGCTGCGGGACCGCTCTCGGCCACGAACTGCGTGATGGCGTCGGATTCGGCCAGGAGGGTGCCGTCCGCGCCTTCGAAGGCGGGCACCTTGCCCAGGGGGAATTTGCTGAGGAAGGTCGGGTCGCGGTTTGTTTCGCCCATCTTGAAATCGGCCAGGGTGAGGGTTAGGTTGTTGAAGTTAGCGGCTGCTTGGGTCTGGTTCAGTTATGTTGGTGGTTAGTTTGGGTGGTAGTTGAGGGGATATATTGGGGGAGAAGGGGGGGGGGGGGGGGGGGGAAGTACCTTCATGACCCGGGGGTTGTTGGGGTAGGTGTAGATGGTTCCGAAGGACATTTTGGCGGTTGTGAAGTTGGTGTATGTATGGTATTGTTTGGAGATTGAGGAGCTTTGTTCTGGTTTGGTAGGATGAAGCAAGCAATCAAGCAAACTGTGGACGGTCCTTGGGTTATAAATATGTCTAGGAGAATATAGATCGGATCAAGGCGGAGTGGAGAGAGAGGGGTTGATTCCTAAACTTGAAGCTGAGATGACAAATCAGCGGAATGGCGGTGGACGATCATACACTCTGATGGAATGTGATGGAAAGTACTACTCTGATTCAGTTTGAGGTTATATTTGTAAAACCGGGATATGCTTGATGCTTACTGTGTTTTATAGTGTATTGGTTCTTTTGCTTGCAAATACATTACTTTTGCTGGGAAGGATTGATTGGCCTGTCAGCAGGATTGTTTATTCCCGAGTGGCTTGCTTTTGCAGGGAAATGCCGGGGTTTGTTCATGTGGGGTCAGCGAGGGAGATTTTGTCAATACTGGGAATTACCAAGTTAGTAGTATTTAGTATATTGATTTTTATTAACTACTATGGTGATATCTATTATAGAGTTTATATTGGTGATTTGTTTACGATATGGCGTCATTAGAGCTAAGTGTGGTTGATCCGGTCTGATTGGTATATCTGCACTTAAGGTTGCTTGGATCTGGATTCCTGCCCCTGGGTTAGTTCATCTAATTGGGACGGCATTCTTCAGGTTCTCTCAGGGCTATCACTGGGGTAGATGGTGCCTTTGCTATTGGTTGTTTGTATATCTTAGTTATGGTCTTCCTGCATGGAGCCTTGAAAAGGTGGTTAGTGGTCTAGGTATGACACGAGGGCTTATTGACAGTGTTGATCTTGCACTCACTGCATGCTATCAGAAGTATCTTCGCTTCTTAGCGTTGCTGCTCTGTCTAAGATGTAACTAGCATCATTCGATCTCAAGTCTGGTCTAGGTCTAGCAAGAGTGCCTTTCCATTACAATATCCCCCACCAAGAACCCCTCTCTAATATAATCTGTATACTACCTATCTCATCCCTAGTACTACCAACATGCATCTCTATCCCCATTACCAAAGCCCTACTACTCCATACTGAGAACTATACCCAACCACACCACCCTACCATTCACTACCACCCCCTACAATCGGCATAGCAACCCCAGTTCAGCCCAACCTACCCAAACCAAACCAACAACCAAACATATCCAACACAGATAGTATCCCCCCCTCCATATTGCACAGCCCAACCCATCCCCCTCGTTTCACCTTAACACCCAATCCAATCCGCAATCATGGACCCCATCATCATCAAAATTCCAGGATCATATCCTCATGACCACCGCTCAAGCCCCCCGATCGTGAATAAACTCATCAGTAGTAGCGGCGCACAACAATTCACAGAATTCACTCCGCAGGTCACAGCCCTGCTATCAAAATATGATGCTCGCGTGCCGCGCGAAACTGCGCGTAGCATTTTCAATCGGCAGTCATATACAGCCGTTATGATTTTTGAGTGTTTGAAGGGGATTTTTGGGTTTTTGAGTAGTTTTGGTTCTGTTGTGTGCGCTTTATGTTCTGGGTTTTGGGACAGGTATGTCATATTTTGATCATCACCTGACGAGCTTCAGAGATACTGACATTATTGCGTCCCCTAAGCACATCTCAGTCCTTGGAAAACAGTCTGGACTCCGAAACAACCACCAAAATGCTCAAACCTATACTCCTGTTGCTTGCAGCTTACGAAGCAGCCCAGATGTACTCAATCACTACAGATGGAGAAGTCCTGAATGGGGAGATCACGGTTCATGCTTGGGGACATGATTATGAGTTCGCTCGGACGTTGAGGCGATATGATGATTCGCTGGTGCGTGATGAGTGTTCAGAAGATCAATTCTCCATGATGTTGGGTAGGGTTGTATGTGCAATGGGACGCAGTCATAATAAGTGGGATCTCCAGCACCTTATAAGTTATTGAATGGTTGACTGATTAGTCCGCAGACTCACCTACATTATGGCCATGGCTGTTCTAACCGAATGCATCTGCAATATTCTACAAGTTGGAAGTTGCTACGGATTGGCGGTTATGATGGCGTGTATTCTTGCTGTTTTGTTTGCGGCAGCGGAAGATTATGTTGGTTGTTCGGCTACATCTACATCTACATCTACCTCTGCTTCTGTGAAAGAGTATCGTCAGGTGACGCTTCGGAACTTGATGATCGGTGCATTGAAGAAGAGTGGTATTCGTTATGCTAAAGTTCGGAGTAGTATATCGGCATCGGACACTATCAAGGCTAGTGACACCGAAGTGCTTGAAAAGTACCTTATCAAGGGGTTGAAGGCACCCACCACCGGGACTGTTCACGACGTATACGTGACACATTATAAACATGGGATGGTCGTCGAGCGATTTACCCCCGAAGAAGATACGGTATCCCCATCCAGCCCTGCGGACTCTCCCGACAATAATCACGACGGATACAAAGTCTCCTACGGCCTTCGGTACTTGGCGGAGGTGAACCCGCAAGACCAACAAGCCATAGCAAAGGGCATTGGTAGATCATGGACCTGCATGGACCAAACCAGTACCATGATCTTGACCGAGTGTGACATCTCTGACGAGCACGCGGACTTTTACTTCGACTTCGACGCACGCAGTGACGACGACGAAGACAGCGAAGAGGAGGGGGACATTGAGATCGCCGGCTCGTTGAATGGTTTCCTATAACTAAAACCTTGTGTCCTGTCAGCCTGTGTTGGTATCCCTGTTCATTCATGTTCTCAATGCAAAAAGCATATCCCACACTTACTTACCGCTTCCCTATCCCCTTCTCAAGCCCATCCCACTCCAGCACAAAAAGGCAATAAATAAACATCAAATGGGTATCACAACACCATCACATGGGATCCATCAAATCCACCCCGCCACCCCCCAACATCCCTCACAAACAACCCTCTCCCTCTTCCCCCCACCACCAACACCACCCGCAACGCCCAACACCATCCCCACCCTCCTCAACCCACCACAACCACCACAAAACACCCTCAGCTCGCCCTCCACCCTCACCAACGCCCCAGCCCCATACCTCGCCTCCTCGCCCTCGCCCTCCCCCCTCGGCAGAACCCCACAGTCAACACAGAACCTCTTCGCCCTGTCACGTCCATACCGACCTCTTCCGCGCCGGAGCATCCGGTCTGCGAAGACAGAGCCGGGACGTAGTCGCAGACAGTATCGGCAGGTGTAGAGGTCATGGGCGATGGCGTAGTCGGTGGTTTCGGCTGCGAGGAGGGCCGAGTGGCTGGGTGGTGGGAGGAGAGTGTAGAAGTAGGTGCAGGTTGCTTGAAGGGAGTAGATGTCTGGGAGGAGGGGGAGGTGCGAGGTTATTTGGAGGTGGAGTTCCGGGGGAAGGGTGAGGAGGGGGGGCTTCTTTTCTTGTTGATGGTGGTTAGAGAGGTGTGGTGTGGGTTTGGGTGTTGGGTTGGGAGTGGGGGCTGGGGGGTGTGGATTCATTAAGGGTGGTCATTGTTGGTGTGTATTGGTGATAAATAGTGGTAAGGGGATAGATGGTGTAAAGAGTATGGGTGAGAGGGGAAAGTGGAGGGAGGAAATGCGGGGGTGATGTAATAGGTGAGACGGGGGGCGGACACGTGCTTATGGTTCTAGGTCAGGAGTTGGTTGAAGTGGGATTTGTATTTTTGCTTTTATCTCGGCTCGTGTCATGTCTACATTATTGATAATTGGCTAATCCTGTCTGGCTGGGTCCTGGTCTGGCTTGTTCTGCAAATACTCATCAATCTCGGCCATGATCTCCGGTGTCAGGCGTGGGAGTAACTTCAGAGACTCTACGTTGTCAACAACCTGCTCTGGCCGAGAGGCGCCGGTAATTACAGCGGAGACATTCTCGTTCTTGAGACACCATGCCAGAGCCAATTGCGACAGTTTGACGCCCATTTTGTCCGCAACCTCCTAGGAGTTTGTCAGCGATATGCCTTAATTGATCGAGTGAAGTAGCATACCTTCAATCCAACGATCTTCTTGATATTCCCAGCCCATTGCTCGTTCTCCCAGTCTCTGCGTACGCTGCTTGCGAACTTGTCGTTGCTCTCTGCGAAGCGAGATCCTGGTGGAGGCTGCGTCGTCGCATCATTGTACTTGCCACTGAGGAGACCCATCTTCAATGGTGAGAAGGTAGTCAAACCAATGCCGCAGCGGGAGTACAGTCGTTGGTACTGGCCTTCCACCTTCTGCCGATCCAACATATTGTACAGAGGTTGTTCGACAATGGGCGCAATCAGTCCCAGAGCTCTGGCAATACCACAAGCCTCGCTGATCTCGTCCGCGGACCATTCCGATGTACCCCAGTAGAATGCCCATCCCTTCTCAATGACATGGTTGAAGGCTCTCACTGTCTCTTCCATGGGTGTTAGACGGTCGGGGCGGTGGGCGTATATGATGTCGACATATTCGAGCTGTAGACGCTCAAGAGATGCTCGTGTGCCTTCAATGATGTGTTTGCGGGATAGACCGTGGTTATTGATTAGAATCTCGCCATTCGCCAGACCCCAATTGAGCTGTTGACTGATTAACTTGCGTATACTCTGGCCCCGCATAGAATGACACGTACTTTGGTGCTAATGACGAGATCGCTGCGCTTCCAGCCAAACTTCTTGATGGCTTGACCCATGACGATTTCTGATTGACCGCCCGCATAGCTCTCAGCTGTGTCGAAAAAGTTGATTCCCAAGTCGTAAGCTTGCTTCATGCAGTTAAATGTGATTTCTAGGGCAAGGAATTAGCTGTTGGTGCACATTGGGGTAGTTATAGTAAGGAATCACCATTGTCGACATGGCCGCCAAAACTATAAGACACGAATTAGCCATCCACAATTCTTCCCTGGAGAAGACCAGATACTCACGTCAACCAGCCTCCCAATCCAAGTGCAGAGACGTGTAGACCAGAATTGCCCACTCGTCGGTAGAGCATGTCCTTGTTCTTGTTTGGCCACGCCATGATTATATGTAGAATATCTTCTCGAGAGCCAGTGAAACGTAAATAGGGAATAGAAGGAAAAGACAGAGCGTATTTATTGCCATCTGTGAGGGGTCATGAACCAATTTATCAGGTTGCGACAGCCATTGCGTTGCGCCCGGGGAGCTGCGATCGCGATCTGGCCGCGATTGGTTAGGCAGAGGCGGTCATTGTACTGGAATCGAATGAGAGCTGTTCTTGACAGGGTCTCCGGGTCCTCGTGCTTGTGAAGACCAATCATATAAGCATTAAGATAAGGAGGGGCAAATGCGGAGGCCAGCAAAGGCGTCGGAGGAATACTCGGAGGGTCTGGCTGCGCTTTAGCCTGGATGTTTTAGCATAGGCACTAGTGGTTTTAGCCGGTTCCGAGAAAGGCTGCTCAGTGTCTATCTCCGGTTTCCATGTACTGCTAATGAAGTGCTGCAATGTGAAGATAGCAATAGCCACGAGTGTGGAGGAGAGGCCTTAGCAATCATAATCGGAGTAAATGAGTGCAATCTGTGATTATTGTCCCATTAGAGATAGTACGCTTGTCAGGTGACAGCAGGCAGACAGCCGTTTATAGTCCAGCCAGCGGCGACCGAGTTCCTACAAGTACATCCATCCACCGTTGCTGAAGACTTTCTTGATCGTTGCCTTTCTACCATCCTCTCTACGTTCTGTTACAGTTATGGTTCAAGAGTGACTTTGAATACCACCAATTGCTTCGCTATTGACAGTGATGGGATGCCGAAAAGGTTCCTGTGGTATATCTGACGCCAATGAAGAAGATGCGTTCTCCTGTAAACCATTTCAACATCCTGTGATCGTCACTGCAGTTGTTTTTGCCGCATCTCCTCGTGTTTACTCGCTAGACATTCAGCTTTGTGACTCTGCATCTAAGAAGGCAATGCTTTTCAGGACGAACATCCCCTGATGTCTGTTGTGGACAGTCCAGGCACACGAGGTGGGTCTCGATAATGGCGTGCCGCGTGGAGTTGAAGGCGCAATCACCCGCTATCATCAGACATCCTCATCGTATCATGGCAACACCTTTTCGACAAAATTCACAATTCAAGCAATACAGCAACTTCGCAGCGGAGTCAACCAGAGCTGCACCGTCGAACGACTCGGATACGCCACGTCTGCACCAAGCGTCGCTTCAAGCTGCACCAGTCAGCGAATGCGTAGGCTTTGCCCCGCAATGACCTCGGGTTAATCGTCCCCTCGCATCATTTGGGATATGCAGCGTTACGCTACTGGCTGATTTTCGGCTCAACTGACAGCCCATTGCCGTTCAACTTTTCTCGCAACTCCGTCCTGTTTCCTTTGTCATGCATTCAATCGAAGCAATTTGCGCTACGCCTGCGACTTGACAACCACAAAGATGTCTTCCAGAGCAAGTATAACCAAGAAAGCATGCGACGGCTGTAAGATTCGAAAGATTCGCTGTGGTGGTGGTCAGCCATGTCGGTCCTGCTTCAATGCACGCATCAAGTGTACCTACATCCGGGTCCAGCAACCTCGCGGTCCTCAGAAGCTGCGCGCAACTACCAAGTACCTTATAGACCAAGCTCAACGCGGTATCGAGGTACATGATGCTCTACCCTCGATTCCTCAGAGCGGGGAGATTTTGGAGACCGACCACGCCTCGACACCGGTGCAGCGAGAATGTGGTGCAAAATCGGAAAGGTGTGTTAAATATCATTCTCGTACCTTCTAGGTCGTGCAACCAGAAAACCACTTTATTGTGCTTATTACCGTCTAACACTTCGAGCGACACAGATCTCGCATACCCACCAATGTTCTCGCATCTCCGCTTTATATATACCACGTGCGAATGTACCCTGTCTGGCCGATCGTCGATGTCGAAAGTGTCATGTCCAGTTTGCAACAGGATGTTGCGGAGAATGACCACGAGACATATGCATTGGCAACTGCTGTGGCAGCGGCAACGATCGCCCAGTTAAGGCTCGGGCAAAGTTCTCTCCCTGACAAGTCGGTGACTGCGGAAACATTTGCAGCGGAGTGCATGAAGGCCCGCAGATCCTGCGATTACCGATCAAGGCTCAATTTGAACAATGTCCGGACAGCCTTTTTCCTTCATGTATATTTCGAGAACCACCAATCGGGCGCCAGCGAATCACTATTGTACTTGAGGGAGGCTATCACACTAGCTCAGATGATGTGTCTGCATCGAGAAGTCTCGTACGCTGGCCTTCCCCCGCAAGAACAACAAATGCGTCGCCGTGTGTTATGGCTGTTGTTTGTCACCGAACGGTAAAGAACCTGCTCTTGCTTTTTGTCATTGCCCCTAACGTTCTCATAGCGGCGTCTGCATACTCCACAAGCTCCCCGTAGTCTTGAGAACAGATATCTCAACCCCAGAGCTTGATGCAAATGATGAGCCCCAGGTTCTGCCGGCCTTCCTGAAACTGCTCAATCTGTTCCGACTGTTCGAACAGTCAAAAATGTTTGACATCATCGAAGATGATCAGGGAGGCTTTGAGCCACTGTCCAGCGAAGTTCCTAACCTAGACAGCCGTTTTCTTAGGCTATTGCAAGATAATCTGCAGGACGGATCAGCTTTGTTGGATCATATCTCAGACGTACAAAAGGCAGACCTTTGCGTTACCAGACATTGGATGCGCATGCTCCTGTGGAAATTCTCGTCCAAGAAAAGCGCTCATGGATCGTCTACTTATTGGCCCACTTCTCCATCCTTTCCAATTTTAGTCGCAAAGGAGCTATTGAACATAGTATCGCAATTACCACGAGCGGCCATCGAAGCACATGGGCTCGGTATGGTATGTTACTTTCAGCAGCCCCAGCGGAATGACCACTGATCAGATCTTCAGGAGTTGAAACTCTATGAAATTGCCAGCTCACTCGCCGATGCCGTAATAGA